AGCTACATCAAGGACGACTACCTGCAGCAGAACAGCTTCACCAAGTACGACAAGTACTGCCCCTTCTACAAGAGCGTGGAGATGATGCGCAACATCGCGTCCTTCCACAGGCTCGCCACGGCCGCCGTCGAGAAGACCGCCAGTGGTGCGCCCTCCGCAGCCCGGGCACACACGCCGCGGTTGGCTGGTCGAGTGGCGTGCTCAGCAGCGGTGGCCGCGCGCTTGAGTCTTGCGCGGGGCTCTTGCAGCCCCCATTTGTCCCACACAAGCACCGCAACTTTGTGTTGTTGCGCGCCTGCGCCCACTCCCCACCTTCGCCATCTCGTCTTCGTGCTCCTCTCAAGCCCCTCCTCTCTGTGCACATGCTTGCGCGCACCTGCACACACACACACTCACACACACACACACACACACACACACACACACACATACAAACCCAGGCAATGCGGAGGGCGCCAAGATCACGTTCAACGTGATCAAGCAGCGCCTGGGGGACGTCCTCTACAAGCTCACGTCACAGAAGTTCGAGGACCCAGGTGGGTGCCGTGATGAAGGACGACGGAAACAAAGCGATGGAGTACCTGCACTATTTCTTGCGTGCGCGCACGCACACACACATGTGTGTGTGTGTGTGTGTGTGTGTGTGTGTGTGTGTGTGTGTGTGTGTGTGTGTGTGTGTGTGTGTGTGTGTGTGTGCAGCAAAAGCGTGCGTGTGTGTGCGCGCTCTGAGTGGGGTTTGGGCGAGGGTACACACATTGCGAAGGCGTTGAGGCAACCTCGCCGCTAAGCGCATCGTTGGGCTCGCTTTGATCATGCACTGCAGGGCTGCCACGTCAGGAGTTGGCCCTGCATTTGACAGCTCAGCTGCAACCAACACCTCTGCTCCTGCCGGCACGCCCCCGCATAATCCACCCAACCACCCATGCACCCAACCATTATCCCCTGAAATACCATCTCTTGGCGCCACAGCCGATGGGGAGGCGGCCGTGAAGGCCAAGCTCAAGGCGGTGCATGATGAGCTGACGGACAGGTTCCGGGTGAGTGGGGCGTGGTCGTGTGTGAGAGTGTGATTGCACTTAGGTGTGCACATGTGTGTGCAGGCACACGTGTGTGTGTGTGTGTGTGTGTGTGTGTGTGTGTGTGTGTGTGTGTGTGTGCGCGCGCGTGTCTGTGTGAGTAAGGGTGTTCTGGCGTGCAGCACGCACTTTGGGGGCCGGGCCGCCGGGCCGCCGCCTCCTGGGAGCCGGCTGGCGCTGGCATGCACGTGGATGTCAGCAGCAGCGGCGGCAGCCGCGGCCGCCTGCACGGGGCAGCATATGCGGGCCGCCACGCGCCCATTGCCTGGTACCCAGGCGCTAGGCGCATGTACCGCCACTCGTCCCCATCACACTTCTCATCACTGCTGATCACTTTGCACCACACACCGACTGCCACCCCGCATCACCCCTTGTCACGCAGGCCCTGGAGGAGGAGTTCCGGTGATGAGCGCCTGGGCCAGCCTTGGGCAGGAGACTGGGCTCTTCCCACACGCGGCCGCCGGGCGTCTGTGGGGACGAGGGTGCGAAGGAGACAACGTTTCCCTTGGACAATTCTTGCTTTTCTTTGACTTGGGCTTCTTGCACGTTCATAAGACAGGGCCACCGCGCTTCGCGTGGGCAGGGGTTTCCTTGTGTCCCGCGATGTGATGCATGCATTTTGTGATGCAACCCACGCAATGTGGGCGCGGCGAGGCGCGGCACGGCGAGCCGCTCGCTGGTTGCCCTGCTGGCCGCTGCGCCTGGTTGAGGCCAGCTGTAACGCTCGTTTTGCAGCGTACGGGCTGTTTGGTTTGCGGTTCAGACACATCGGCAGGCCCGTTGCAGCTTCTGAACTTGATTGTGCTGTACACACCCAGCAGTTCTCATTTGTCCTTGGTGGCTCCTTCGCAGCGCTGTTCAGTGCATAACACATGTCTTCTGTGCAGAAGATGTGCAGCAGGCACACAGGACCACGCGCCGTTGCAATTGGCGGCGGATAGTACAGAAACCACGCTGTGTGACAGCCAAGCGGTTTGAAAGCCAACGCCGCCAGCCCTTCCTGCTAACCCCACTTGCCACTTGCTGCTTGGGAGCCGGGGAATAATCGTATCGGAGCTGTCGCAATGCTTGATGGGTGGGACGGAGCATGCAAAATCGAGAGCTGGGAGCTGAAGGCCAAACAAAATAGGCGCGCCTTGCGCCACGAGAACAGGACACCACTGCTGCATAGATTCCGTCCAAACTGCGCAGTCGCACAAGAGCCCCGCAGCAGCGCAGCCACGATGCCCGCGCCCCCATGCCGCAAAAATGCACCCACGATTCCAGTCAGCCGCATCGCCAATGCGGTCTAGGGGCTATCCGCGGCTGTCACCGTGGCGCGAGGGTGCCCAACCCGAGGCTACCCCAGCCGCCGCGGCGTCATCGCCGCGCCGCGCGGCGGCACGCTCCCGCCCGCGCCGCCGAGCGAGGCGCGCGCGCTCGCGCGGCCGCCGCCGGCGCTTGAAGGCCGCGCAGACCGTGGCGCGGCGGCGATGCGCGCGGGCTTGGACCGCTCGACGGCTGGAACCAGCCCCAGCAGCCGCTCCACCACCCCCTGGCCCCACAGCAAGCGGAACACGGCGTTCGGCAGCGCGCCCAGCCCGAAGGTCACGACGACAAAGGCGCAGTCCAGCAGGCAGCACCAGACCACCCACGAGAAGCTGGCGGGCAGCTGGTGCGGCCCGCGGGTCTCGAAGATGCCCAGCAGCCAGCCGGCCGCGGAGGCGGAGCCGCGGGATGCGGCAAAGAGGGTCACGGCCAGCCACACCACCGCCAGGGAATTCCTCAGCGGGAACAGCGTGGCCGAGACCGACGGCAGCAGCAGCAGGCCGACGATGGCTGCTGCGGACAGAACGGGCTCCAGCGCGGCAAAGACGCGGCGGGGCGGCAGCTGCTCATAGTCCTGCAGGCGTCCAGGGGGCGAGGGGGGAAGAGCGAGTAGCGCTCTGCAGTCAGCGCAGCACAATAAGCAGGCCACTGCGGCATCGATTGGCTTGGCCCCTGTGCGTCGGCCCTTGAGACCTGGCGATCCATCCATTACAGGAAAGAAGTCGCAATGGACCCGTCAGCCACTCACAGTGATGTCCTTTCTCGTCAGCAGCGCAGTGAACCCATCCTGGTCCGCCCGGCGCATGGCCCTGTAGATGCGCAGGCGGTGGTCGGTGGCCATCTCATGAGTCAGGCCCTTGGACCTGCGTTGGGTGGGTGGGCCGGGACCGGGCAGGGCAGTGCAACGGTGGGGTCATGGGTTTGTGAGATTGGGGGTGTGGCCATATGCAGTTGACACAAGGGGGGGAGTCACCGAAAGCGCGGCGGATGAGGCGTGGTAGCAAGCAGGGGCTTGTGCTGGTGTGAGCAAGGGATGCACGGTGTGACCCCAAACCAGCCAGGCACATACAGCCCTTGTCAAACACCTAGTGCACATGCCTGTCTCCACTCAGAATTGCGGCACCCAGGCGACTGCTCACCTGACGTGGCCGCGGTAGAGAGGCGACCGCTGAAGCCCCTCGATGCTGCTGATTTCGGCCTGCATGGCCGCGCTCCTGTTGGAAAGGTTGCACAGCAGGTGTGGGCTGCATGAGGATGCGCATGACAAGGCGCAGAACCGGGAGAATGCGCAAGCGGCAACTCACGCATGCGCTTCAAACAGTTCCCACCGCGTGTCCATGCGTGTGTGCGCATGTATGCACATGTGTGCGCGTTTGTATGGTGGAGAGAGAGCGCTGCGGCAAACACGCCGCACAGGAGTGTTTGCACAGCTGGCCGCGCCGCCCACCTCTGCAGCAGCTCGGGGTCCCAGCCGAGCCCCTCCTGCTGCTCCGCCAGCAGGGGTTCTTCTTCGTGGTGCCGTCCCCAGCCGTTGGTGCCCGCCATCGCTGCAAGCTCCTCGCTGCGCTCCCCTTCTTCCTCCCCGTCCTCGTCCTCTGCAAGCCTTGGGCGAAAACTCGGTGCTCGGAAGCTAAAAGCCCGCCACAGCCCCTCGTCCTCTTCCTGCTGCTGCTGCTGCTGCTGCTGCTGCTGCTGCCGCTCCTGCTGCTGCTGCGGTCGTCCCTGGTCCTTGCAGACCTGGCGGCCTTCAGGCAAGGGCTGGGGCTGCAGGTCGTCCTCGGAGCCGCCGTCTGCGCCCTGTCCCCGCTGCCTATACAGGTCCTCCTCCTGCTCCTGCTCCCTGAGCCACCTGCTGGGCGGTGGCACTGGCGGAGCAGGCACGCTAAAGAGCTTGCGCTGGCGCTGGCACGGCTGATTTTGCTGCTGCTCGTGGTCTGGTGGGCGCTGCTTGGAGGCTGCGTCGGTGCCCGGGCTGTAAGACTGCTGCTGCCGCCACCAGGAGCACCACCTGGTTGTTGCGCTGCAGCCCCTGTGAGCCTCGCGAAGCTTGCGCAGCTTCTGCAGCCTCTGGACAAGCGAAGCGGCGACGGACAGCAAGCTGCACACTGCCACAATGACAGTGACGGCGTCAGCGAGAAGCGCCTGCTCGCTGGAGCTGGTCAGAGTACGGTCACGGAGGACAGGTCTGCCTTCGAGGTCGTCAGGGACGGGCTGGACCATGCCCTGGCTCGCTTGTCGAGTGGGCAGCTCACGACACTGTGTTCTGCGAGCGCGACACAAGATATCGGCGCATAATAAAATATATATCGTCTGTGTGGTGGAGCGACAGAACAGCCGGGCCCCAAACAAGGCATCAAAAAAAGCAAGATCAAATTTGCTGATGATCTGACCTCGACTTTTCGCGCCAGCCGACCGATACGAGGTGGGCGAGTGGCGTGGCGGTTTTCAAGGGTATCGATAACGTGATTTAGACTGTTTGCCTTGGGCAGCAGCAGCACACCACACGAACAGATGTTGCCTCCCTGCCCTGGTTGGGCCTCAAGCCGGCCCTCCGCCCCTCTGGTCTCGTAGCATGTATCTTCACAATCGTTTTTCTGCGGGATCCTGAGGTTTGCCGTGATCTAGCACAGTGCTGGGACAGCAGTTTGCGGCCCACAACTGTCCCTGCATGGCAGGCGGCCCACAAGTGAGCGTTCAAATCGTGATCCGCAGCTTGTTTACGCCAGCTGGACCCATGCATGGCAGCCGTCTTCGCGCATGCTTCTGTTTTCCTGCTGCTGCTGCTGCTTTGCTGGTGCTGCAGGCAGCAGCGAGCACCCGCACACAATGCAGGCATGTTGCAACAATGGTGACGCAGCTCCTGCGCCCTGGTTGCATGAAGTTCAAGCCCTTACATCATTCAAAAGCTCGTCCTAAATTATAAGAGCATTACCACGTGTAGAAGCGCGAACAAGCGCAGGGGGAGGGCGCACGTGGCTGCGCCTCCCTCATGGGACTGATGCCACCTGCTTACCTCTCGACCGATCAACCACAGGGCCGCTGATTCGTCCGCACGTCTTTGGGGGGGGCGCCGGGCAGGCGGCGACACCCGCACCCATAGCAGTGCGGCGCTGCAGGGCTGACAGCAGCTGCCGCTGCCATGGCCACGGCAGAGGCGCGCGCCCCACTGCTGCAGGCAGCGCAGCACCACCCAGCGGCCGCTGCCGCTGCGCAGGCAGCAGCAGAGGCCGCCGCGGCCGCAGCAGCAGCAGCGGGTAGCAGCGCACCCGCGGCAGCGGCGTTGGGACCAGGGAGCCAAGCGGGGGCAGGGGCAGCCGATGCAGGCGCCAGCACAGACCCGGCGGCAGCCCGGCGCCAGGAAGACGCGCTTTTGGAAAAGGCAAACGCCATCCAGGTGAGTCCTGCGAGGGCCATAACCAGGGCGCGTCACCGCTGCCTGTCGCCGGCGCATGTGCCGATAGCCCGGCACATGCGGCCCCTGCGCTCCGCGCCCGAGCACATCGCCGCAAACAACCGGCACCCCCGTGGCCCAGGCGCGCTGGCGCGACCTGGCTTGGGGCTTTGTGCCGCGTTGGGAGGACCCGCCGCGGGCGTGGACGCACCATGATTATCTGCTGCGGGAGGCGAGGTGGCTCGCGAATGACATGGCCCAGGTGGGTTGGGGTGGCGGCGCGCAAACTGGAGGTTGCCAGGGTGCACGCGCCTCGCATTGGCGACATGTGTACAGGCCTCGAGGTTTCTCGAAATAGGATTGCCAGTGGCAGGGCGGCAGGCATCTTGTGCAGTGACCGAGGTCGGGACTGGCAACACGGGGCGGGCGCAAGAAGCGACGTCTGTGCACGGCGGTCCTAGTTGGGTATCTTGGGTAGAGCAGGGGCCCTGACCATGCCTGGCCTGCCCGTTGCATGCGACAGGAGCGGCTCTGGCACCGCCTCTCGGCGCTCAAGTTTGCGACGGAGGCGGCCGCCGCCGGCCGCGCGCGGCTTGAGCGCCTGGCGCCTGCGGCGCAGGAGGCCGCCGCGGCCGCGCAAAAGGCGGCTGCCGCGGCGCACAAGGCTGCGGCCGGCCACGGCGGCGCGCGGGGCGGCGGCAAGCGGGGCGGTGGCGCTAAGAAAGCAGCGGCGGCAGCGGCGGAGGGCGCGGGGACGCCGGAGCCATCCCTCGTGTCAGGCAAGAGGGTGACATTGTCAGACGAAGAAAAGGCGGCGCTGCGCGCAGACATCGCTGCCGCGGAGGCGGCGGAGGCGGCGCAAGCTTACGGTGAGGGCCCGACCAGTCGGCGGCTGGGGGGGCTCAGCCGGCGCAGCTATCCAAAAGGCGTGGCTCTTGGTGCGAGGGTGGAGGCGAGTCCTCCGAGGCATGACCCTCCCCTGGTATCAACACTTTGGTTGCGCTTTTTCATCGCTGTTTGGCCCCCCGCGGCGCCCCTGCCCTGCAGACGCGGTGCTATCGGGCCTGGGGGAGGCGGGCGCGGCTGGGGGGGCGGTCAAGCAGGAGGAGGGCGGCGCGCTGGGCGTCAACGGCGGCGGCAGCAGCAGCGGCTCGGTGGGAGCGGAGGTGCGCGCAGCCGCTCCGCACTGGGGCGGGGTCGCATGCGTGCTGGTCCCTGTTGTGGGATCCCGGCCATCCTGCCGTTGTCCACCGCTCATCACGTACACCATGGGTATGATGCGTACGTGGTGATATTCAAATTTCAAGTTTCAGATTTTGCACAGCACACCTGAGGAAGCATGTCAGAGGCTGGTGCAACCTGGCCCCTCCCCTAACCTTGGCCCCCGCAAACCTTCACCCCCTCCCGCCCGGTGCGCCACACGTGCATCATGTGCCCCCCCCCCTGGACCCCAGGCTGACCACCTGGCGATGTGGGCCCACGAGGACCTGGCGCAAGTCCTGGTGGAGCACATGCAGTGGCAGGAGGTGCGGCGCGCACGACAGACGCGCGGCGGCCCGGTTGTGCGCGCGTACCACCGGCGCGCCCTCCGCGGCGGGGGCTGCGGTGTTGACGCGACACACCTCGCCAATTGCATGCGCTGCAAACTCGATCCCCGGCTCCTGACGTCCCAATCCACACACACAAAATGGGCTACCGCAGGCCCACCGGATGGTTCGCCACATGGAGGCGCAGGCCCGGGCGGACGCAAATCTGGAGGTGGCCTGGCTGGCGGCCGAGGCCGCGGAGCGCAAGGCGCGCGAGGCGGCCGGCGCGGCGGCGGGCGCGGCGGGCGACGCGGACGCCGCGCGGCGCGGCGCCATGCGGCGGCAGCGGTCCATGGTGCGAGACGCCCGCGCGCGCGGGGGCCCCGCAGCAGCGGGGTGCAGGGAGTGGATCGGCGCGGCCCCTGCTGTGGCCGGATCAAGCGGCGCAGGCCAGGGTCCGGGTCACGGCACCCGGTTGGGTCGTGCCGGCGGGGGCTTCCACTGTTCCTGCCACGCACGTGCGTACCCGAGCATCCCCTCTCCTCCCGCATCGCCTCGATGCGCCGCAGCCGGTACACGGGGGCGTGGAGCACGACGGCGGCGACGCCATGGGAGCGGCCGCGGCGGCGGCGCGCGCGCAGCAGTTTGCGCAGCGCGACAAGAAGAAGCGCAAGGTGCGGCGCAGAGCAGCGGCTGCGGCGCCCTATGGGTCACTGGAGACCCTCGCGATGCGCTGGGTCGGGGAGTGGCTTTTGGCGTGGGTACCTGCGTGCCCTCGTCTCAACGGGTCGATTTTCTCCCAGCTGCTGACAAAGGGTGTCATTGCGACGTTCTGATTTTTGATGCATGCGCCAAGTTGGAGGGGGGCCCATTGCACCTCATGCGCTGCCACGCCACAGCACGCGCGAGCATGAAAACACGCGTGCGCACCCTCCAAACTGCGCGCGCCATGCGTACACGAGTGGACACTCAGATAATACAAACACGCGTCATCCAATCGTTCCCGCCCTCTTTGACTCATCCAGGCCGCCCGCGACTACGAGGACGAGGATTACGTAATGGGCATGAAGCAGGGCGCGATGCCGCCCGGCGCGCGCCCGCCGCAGCCGCGAGCGGTGAGCGACCCCCATGCCCCGTGGCTGCTCGCAGCCCTGGCGCGGCCCCGTCTCACGCATGCCTGCCCGCGCTCAACAGCCCCGGCATTTTGCCGCAAGCGTCAAGCGCCAACGCAACCACTGCAAGCGAATGCGTCGTTCCGCCTCACCAAGGCGTCTTCATCGCATTGCGTTGCGTGTGTGCGTGCACGCCGCACCCCCAGCCTCAGACGGCCGACCCGCACTTCAAGCGGCTCAAGATGGGCGGCGGGCAGGGCGCGATGGGCGCCATGGCGCGGGGCGACGGCGTGGCGCGGGTGCAGCTGCCGGTGAGAGGGGGGCGCGCGGGGCTGCACCGCACAGGGGACAGGGTGCACACGCCTTTTGGGCCTGCGTGCCTCATGTTGAGAAGGTGAGGGGCAGGCCAGTGTTTGCGGCTCGCAGCTGCCTCACCGCGGGGCCGCCCGCCCTGGCGCCGCTCGCTCGCTCTGAAACGTCTCCTCTCCCGCCCACCGCAGACGGGCGCGCCCCGCGCGGCGCTGCCGCGCCAGGCCAGCACCAGCACGCCGCACCTGTGGGCGCCGGCCGACGATGACATGCTCTGCGCCATGGTGCGCCCAGGGGAACGAGAGACGTTTGCATGGGCCTGAATTTTGGTCGTCGTCGGGAATGACTGCCATGGGCGTGCCGCGAAGCCGGGGGGCCAGCAGCGTCCGCCCCCCCCCCCCTCCACGGGGAGACGGGCTTGGCGACGGGGGCTGCAGCAGGGCCCGCGCCCTTCCGGCAGCTGGCAGTCACGACGGGGCGTGCAGCCCACAGCCCGGCCGACCCCACCCACCGCTGCAGAGCCCACGCACCCATCCATCCATCCGCCCGCCCGCCCACCGCCCAATCTTCCCGCCCTGCGCGCGCGACGCAACCCCAAATCCCCA